ACAAAAAAGATGTACAGATTAAGATTTATTATATTAAAAAAGCTTTGTTCACCCTTCCTGCACCTACTTGCATAAGTACTTATTTACAACCAATGCAAAAAAGTATGATGCTATTAGATTAAAAAAGGAAATAAATGCAAATCGTATTTATTTAAAGTAACGGAAACTATCTTACCTACTTATAACGTTGTAACTATGAACTAAAAGAAATATTAAGTATGTGCACAATTTATTTACAGGATCTAATGAATAAAAAAACACTTAAAAAGTTAGACGAAACAATAAAATAATTTTACTGGTTCGAAAAATGTAATTCCCTAAAGCGCAAATTTCTCTTACCGCACCCGACAACGACCTCTGTCCTCACGTGCCTGTCCGTTCGGGTATGTCTACCAGTTAGATTCGTGCGCTTCCCCACCACACGACAGCGCCGAGCCGCACTTCGGCAAATGTGCGCGACGCTGACGGCAGCGACGGCGACGCAGAGTGTTCATTAAAAGGAATTTATACTTCGAAAGTATTTTGTAACTTGATACACCCAAAACTTCTAAATTACATGTTCTTAGGTTCAATAGTTAAGATTTCGTATACTTACCTACATAAAGGTTGGCTTTGTAGATCCCGTTCCGAATCCGTTCCGGGTCTTATCTTCAATTCATCCCCTATTTCACTACATATCCATACTACATATACACTAATAAAATTTTCAAAATGCTAGTACAAACGATTTTTTGTTTCTTATGACGTGATATTTGACGAAATTGCATACTAACTTTCAACCCTTATTTCACCCCCTAACTGGTCGAAATTTCAAAAATGCTAGAACAAATATTTCATATTTTCTTATCAAGTGCTTAAATACTAAGTTTTATGGTTTTATCTTTAAATATTACGAAATCCCACACAAACTTTTAACCCCTATTTCAACCCCTTTATCCCTGTTTTTCGAAAAAAAAGTAGCCTATGTTCTGTCTCAGGGTCTAAAGATTGTCTGTACCAAATTTCATTAAAATCGGTTTCGAGGTTTAAGCGGGAAAGCGTAACAGACAGACAGACAGACAGACAGAGTTACTTTCGCATTTATAATATTAGTTAGGATTAGGACTAGCGGCCCGCCCCCGCTTCGCACGGGTCCCCAACTATCTCGCTATCAAAGGGTCACTTTTTCCTAATCTCCCCTCTACTTTTCTAATATTTTCTTTGATAAGAACCTTCTCCTGACAATAACAAATACAACAAAAAAAAAATTAGTACAATTGGTCCAGGCTTTGTTGAGTTATGCGCTTACAACACATTTTGCGATCCATTTTTATATATAAGATTCTCATTTTTGACATTTGGATAAAAGTATTGAATTAGACTAGTTGGAAACTACCATATTGTTGCGTACATGTTTTACTTATTTGAATTATATTTATTGTACTATGAGTAAACGCTGCTTTGGCAAAAATGGGCCGACTCGACAGAAGACCTCACAGGAGGCCCGAGGCCTCACAGAAAACCGGCGTGAAGCAAAGCTTACGTTGTGTTTTACCGTGTAAGTGAGGTTTCAGCAGGCCCAATAGGGCAATTTTTGCGGAAGCTCGTCCACCCATGCTCAGATCCCTAATCCTTAATAGACCACTCTGGTATTGTAAGCGTCAACAATGGGTGGCGCTCATTACTTACCAGCATATTATACATCTGCTGTACGTTTGTTTGTACCGTATTCTATATAAATATTAATAATTAATAATCTCCATTTAATCATAGCGTGATGTTTTATAGCTCCATTTAATCATAGCGTGATGTTTTATAGCCTATATAGCATTCAGGAGCATTGTAGTTATCTATCAGTGAAAAAACTTTGGCAGTCCGACCAGCGGTTCCAAAGATTACCCCCCTACATACAAATTTTACCTCTTTATAATATACTAATGTATAGATTGAACGGCCAAACCCATGGTTACTGACTAGTATAGTACCTTTTATGAATAGGTAGGTACATTTTAATCAATCCTTTGTCTCCAAATGTCGTGTTGGCACGAAGGTTAAATCTATGCATGAGGATGTGATCTCGAAACATGACAAGTGTATGACTTTTACATAGGTAGATAAGTTATAATTAAATACAGCCGTATTATAGGTACCTCAAAAGAACAATAACAAGATAGCTTTTTGGCTTAACACACAAACATATAATTTCGACCCGGCTTTGTGAATCACTCACATAATTAATTCGCAATCCGAAAAATCGTCATTAAATTTAGCCTATAAGAACCCACTGCTGATCAAAGGCCTCTTCTCACACGGAGAAGGTTTGAGCATTAGGTAATCGCCACGCTTGCTCAAGGTGGGTTGGCGATTTCAAACGAGTTTCAAAAAGTCTAGGTTTCGTCACGATGTTTTCCTTCACAGTATGTCAGTAATATAATATAATAATAATAAATAATCATAGAAAGTACATTTAACTGGGAAAAAATCACATTGGTGACAGATTTCAAAACCTCATGCATGAGAAGCGGACGCCTTAACCTCCAGGCCACTACCACGTCGTAATTATTACAACTTGTTTTAATGTAAGGCAAACATTCGGCGACTTTATTACCTTAATTATTTACAAAGTAATAAACAAAACCAGATCGAAAAATCTCATTAAATATCAAGCACCCATAAACAACAACAACAAAAACTACGGAAACCAAACAAAGAGTTATTATGTCAACCCGTCCGTCCCAGGAACCTGCGTATCTCAGAAACTGCTCGACCTAGAATGATAAATTTTGCCAAAGATACAGGAAGTCTCGTTCCAATTATGAACTATGTTAGTCACACAAGATCTGGTTAAATACTACCTCAAACTTTTTACACTGCCTGCCTACTATTAAATTACCTGTTTTCATCTAGATTATTTATACTTCCTTTTCCGGTTTTTGGCCGATGTTGCTATGTGCAGATTATTTATTTGTATACATACGTTATTATAGATGTCTTGTCGACAAATTTTTGGTCATATTTTATTGATTTATAATTATTAAGTATTTATATTTGTAGGTACTGAAATATCAAATGTTTTATTGTGGTCATATTTTAAATGCATTGGATGAATTCTTATATATTTGTGTTCCGTAGTTTTAACAGATCCGGTTAGATGATTACTGATACTCTGTGTTACATGTGTAGTACCTTGGTCATCTTTTTACCCACGGGAAAGCGACATAGAGACAATATTTTAGAATATTTTCTATCATTTAAAAGTAATGTCATATTCTAAGGTTTCCAGCCTCATAGATTAATTTTAGATATATTATGCAAATCACGTTAGATTGCACGGTTGGTGCAGTGGCTGGGTAACTGACTGCCGTGCAACGTGTCGCGGGTTCGATTCCCGCACGGAACAACTCTTTGTGTGATCCACAAACTGTTGTTCCGTGTCTGGGTGTGATGTATATGTATGTGAAATTGTATGTTTGTAACCGCACCCACGTCACGAGAAAATCCTAAAGTGGGGCAAAGTTTTTAAAAATAAAAAAAAATCAGTAAAAATCTAAACCTGGAAAGGTAGGACAGTTGGAGAGGTCAAAGTCGTAACAAAAAGAATTTGACAATAGCAACAATTACCCAAATTATTCAGATGACCCTTCACCTTGATACAAAACAGAGGATCACCAGCCAAATCAGGATCCTGAGGGTGTTCCAAGGTCATTTGTTAACTGGTCACATCCTCATCGGAACCGCAATTATATTGTTCAACTCAATCACGACAATTATTTAATTCCCCATTTGCTCTCCCTTTCTTGCAATGTGCAAAAGAACGGGATGCAAGATCCAAATTTTGATTTGAACCGGGAAGTTCTGTTTTATTTGAGAGTCAATTTCCTCTGGTTTGGTTGTGAAAATTTGTCTATTGTCAATTATTTAAATAGAGCTACCAAAAACCTTTCGTCTGCACGGTTGGCGTACTGACTCGGCAAGGGGCAACGTGTGGCGGGTTTGATTCATGGAACAACACTTTGTGAGATCCACAAATTGTTGTTTTGGGTCTGACTGGTTTGTGTATGTTTGTAAACGTATCCACGAAACGAATGTAACCTATCCAGGAAAAAAGGAAATACGAGTTTATTATGCAGTTTTATAAAATTGTCCTGAATTAGTTGTATAGTAAAAATACGCTTTAATTATGTATAACAGACAGCCTTTTGAAACAACTTTCAAGGTTGAAACAGACAAAATTTTTGCTAAAAAACATTACAACAAACAAACATATGTATATACATCTCTATTTTCGAGAAAGTTAACTATATAACCTGCCAAAACTCTATACAGAAAAGGAGCTTGGGACAAGCCCGTTGCAACTCCTGTGACCTAGGATATACAGTAGATACAACCATTAAAACACCGGAACACTGAAGTCCGACACGTCCCAGGGACATGAATGACTACCTTGGATCCCGCAACGAAATAAATCAGAAGATATAATTTGAGGAGAACAAAAAACGAAATAGTTTTTTTATGTAATAGATAGGCAAACGAGCAGACGGATTACCTGATGGTAAGCAATCAGCGCCGCCCATTGACACCCGCAACGGAGGAGTTACGAGTGCATTGCCGACCTTTTAGGGATAAGGGATTTGGAGATTTAGGGATTCGGGAGGGGAAGGATTGGGTCTCTGGTAACCTCACGCACACGGCGAAACACAACGCTGTGGTTGTTTCACACCGGTTTTCTGTGAGGCCGTGGTATCACTCCGGTCGAGCCGACCCATTCGTGCCGAAGCATGGCTCATAGTTACCACTTCCCTCGGTAAATTAAATGCCAGAGACAGAAAAGGAGCTAAAACCTCTATGGCTATAGCTTTACTTTTCTAAACAACGCGACGCCATCACCATGGCGACAACATAAACAGCGGAGCACCGATAACCGAACGATATTTTTTAACCAATTTTTACCAGTTTTTACTTATTATTTGTAAATATTTTTAGTGTTTCAATTGTTAAAAGTTTTAGTGTAAACTTCCAAAATGGACGACGAAGAAGATTTCGGAATGGCAATGACCATCGGCTCGGAAACCACGGAAGCGGAGAAGGAATTTGGCCTTGTAATTATCATAATTTCATTACTATTAGACAGTTGTATGCCCCGGTTTTCACCGTTTTCTTATTGATATATGTAGTAGTGCAGGAATCCTCGTCTCGAAGATAACTCACAACAAGTCTTTGTATGGGGTTTGTCGGCAAACGAGCAGACAGATTACCTGATGGTAAGCATTCGGCGCCGCCCATGGATTCCTGCAACACCAAAGGAGCTTTACGAGTGTGTTGCCGGCCATTTGGGGATAAGGGATTTGGATGTTTAAGGTTTGGGAAGGGATAGGGGGAGCGGGAACTTCACTCATACGGCGTAACACAACGCTCTGGTTGTTTCAAACCGGTTTTCTGTGAGGCCGTGGTATCACTCCGGTTGAGCCGACCCATTCGAGCCGAAGCTTGGCTCTCCCACGTGCTTGGCTCTCTAGAATGGAATTCATCACCACATGTGTTAGACATAAGTACAGTATAGGGCCGATGTTCAGCCGGGATTGCGAGGTCAAGCGCAATAAGGCACCGCGACCTCGGCCTAGAGCAGGAGAAGGAGAGGTAATTTAGTCAGTAAAAGTCTGCTTGTTGCTCACTCCCGCATCCATGGCCAGTGCCAACTGGGTAGTTTCCTAGGTCAAAAATAAATTAATTCGACGTTGCAACACAATAAATTAATGAAAAATAACTATACCTACTTTTATTCATCGATCGATCGATATACTACATTTTTTTATATTTTTTAGCAAATTTTTAAGAAATAACTATGCTATTTGACCCAAAAAAAAACTCAAAAAGAAAGAAAGAAAAGTATCGTTTTTGACATTTCGATAAAAGTATTGAATTTGACTAGTTGGAAACTACCATCTGGCGAATCGCTCTCGTTTGCCTAACTATCTAATAAGAAAATATAGACAAGTTACCTACTCCGTGTTAGTGATTTTTAATCTAGAATCTAGATCATGTCAGCAAACTTCAGCTTTATCTTTTGTCAAATCAAAAACTCGTTAATTGACGACTGAATTGACGCTCATTATTCAAAGTTATCGTATAGATAACAACATAGTAAACTATAATATCTATCGATCGAATCGATTTAAATGTGGGAGAGCCATGCTACGCCATAAAATTTGCCACTTATAGGATAACCAACACTCTTTAAATACAACTTGAAAACACAAGAACTTACGATAATACGGATTTTTTATAAAGTAAAAGTAAAAGTTCAATCACATTTCTCATAATTGTGATTGAACTTTTTAATATCATTATCATTGTTTATTATTTTATAAGTCACAAGACCACTTTAGAACTTAGATCTACGCCATCGACTTATAACTGGCGACCCGCCCCGGCTTCGCAGAGGTGACATGCGGATATTAAATTTCTCCACTATTTATTGAATGTTATTAGGTATATGTACGTATAAAAATCATCTTTAATAATTTTATCTATTTTAAAAACTGCATTAAAATCCGTTGCGTTGTTTAAAAGATTTAAGCTTGCATACACACAGGGATATACGGATAAAGAAAGCGACTTTATTTTATAGGTACTATGTAATGATAATCCATCAGATATGTACTTCTTTGAAAATTCAATTTCTTCATTACATACTCTTCTTTTCTGTTCTCTTAGGTCCTGGAGCAGTTACGCGAGATGGATGGTATGAAGTTCATAAACGATGTTTACACCAAACTCTATGACACATACTACAAGCTGAAAGAAGAGAATGCGCAGCACTGCGAAAGGGAAGAGGGACTCAAGGTTAGAGCTAACTCGCATTCTTCTTTTTAAAGCTCTTGGGATTCAGTTAACCGCGCGGAAGTCAACCATAGAATGGACCAACATGAAGTCCGCATTTGGTGTTTTGCTGATCGGATTCAGCTGGATGACATCTAATGATGAAAGCATGTTAGCAGGGACTAATCTCTCTCACTTTATGATGACCACGGTCTATCTGTCAGTGAGTTAGTTTTAGAATTGATTTAGAATTAATTGGAGTACTTTTTTATTTTCATGGTTTTGTTCTCTATAAATAGAGATAGGCATGCTTTATACATACCTGTTATGTTAAGTATTTATTGCTCGAGGTATTATATGATTTAAAATCTTGCCGTTCCATTCCTGTACGATAAAATTTTGAAACGATTATGCTATATATCTTGATAGGAATAAGATGGATAATTTAAAAAGAGAGATTTTTTGACATACGCTGGTTGGACTCCAGCGCGGAACAAGTGGTCCACAAATCTTTACTTCTGGTCAGGGTGTGATGTGAATGTCTTTATAAGCCACCGTGACACAGGAAAAAAGTCCTGTATATCTGTCCAACATTTTGAAAGATGTAACGTAAAAATTATTTACCAATTTTCAGGCTAAGCTGGGTCGCTTTGATGACACCGTAACAGATTTCATGGGTGAAATAGCTGAAAACCACAAAGTGATTGAAAAACTACGAACGGAAATCAGTAAGTTGCCACTTCAGTAAAAGAAAATGCATTTTACAACAATTCGGTAAGATTCAAACTATTACTAAGAAATTTTCTAAAAATCTTCGAGATTACCCTGATGATTATTTGGTGAACTAGGATTCTGGAGAGTAAGTATGAAGCGACCTCGATTTTTAAATGTGTTGACTGCACAGCATAGGCTTCTTGAGTCGGCTGGAGTTGCGGGGCTACCGCAATAAGGCACCGCGGCCTCGGCCTAAAGCAGGAGAAGGAACGAGGTGTTTTTCAGTCAGCAAGAGTCTGACACTCCCTTTTGCCAGCCAGTGCCCATCACATTAATTAATTTTGACAGAGGAAGCCCAAGCTCTAGCAGACGCGATGCACGCTCGAGAACTGACCAGCGTGGAGAGCCTTGAAACTATGAAGAAGCAAATCGTCAGGCTTGAGAAGGAACTGGATGCTAGGAAACGAGCTGGTGAAGAAGATGTGTACGTATTTTACAGAAAAATTAATGATATTCTTCAAGCTATAGAGCTACCTCATTTCTTTTTATTATGGTTCTCATAAAGTAACACAAGAAAGTACGTCTAGACAAGTGAATAGGTACACTAACACCCGGTTTCCCAAAGGCCGATCAATGTTAAAATCAATTTAATCTCTTGTCAAGTCATCTGATTGGTTGACTGAATTATCAACAACCAATCAGATGACTTGACAAGAGCTATAACAGGAGATTTGTTAATTTTAGCGTTGACAAGCCTTTCAGAAACCGGGTGGTAGACTTTTCAAAAATAAAAATAGAATTTCTTGCCTGTTCTTCTCCATTCGAATCTACTTTGGAATAAGCACATAGCTTCAACGAACGAACCTTGTACCTGGAATACATTTTTATTTACATTCAATTTTTCACTTTTAATCTATAAAACAATGTCTTAGCGGAGCTACATCAGCAGCCAAAGAGAAGGAGAAGTTTGAAAAAGAAAAGTTACGTCTGCAAGGTGAGCTGGATGCTGTTAAGCAGAGGCTAGCCAACTCCGTTCAGTATGTGGAGGAACTGGAGGCGAAAAACAATGACAAGGAACTCAATATATCCAAGCTTGAGGAGCAGATTGAGGTGAGACGGCTAGAAGATCAAACGAATATTCTTTAGGACAATAGCTTGGTGAACTGTGTCTTTTAGTGAACCCGATCGGTAATCTGAAAAGAGAACAATGTTGTAGGTATTAAATATTTGGTTCCAGGATATAAACAATAAGAATAGAAATTTTAAATATGTATATCTAGTTAGTAGTAATTTTACAATGTGGTTGTATTTATTATTACCTATTAGATTTTGCACACAATGTGTATACAGACGCCAAGTACTAGATAAGTTTGAACATAGAACCTAATTTTAAAGGACTATGAGCCCCATAATCTTGTCGGATACTTATATGAAAAAGCATTTTTTTTAATCACGTTGCGATCTGGTATCTTTCGGGCCATTTATTTTTGAGTTCAAAAATAATGAAATTGGAACTGCGTTCCTTACAAACCTATTTTTGAATAAAAATGTGATGGTAATGTTTTCAGGAAGCTGAAAACAATGCAGTTCGTCAAAATCGTCTCGTGGACCACCTAAAGACTGAAACATCAACCCTCAAGTTTGAAGTGGATAACAGAGGCGGTATCATCGCCTCCCTCAATGATAAGGTAACAAAATGCAGTAACCGTATAAAATTTATCAATTTGAATACAATGTGTGGGAGAGCCAAGCTTCGGTCGGCCAAATGGGTCGGCTCACAGAAAACCGGCGTGAAACAACCACAGCGTTGTGTTTCGCCGTGTGAGTGAGGTTACCGGAGGCCCAATCTTTCCCCATCCCTCCCCAATCCCTTAATATCCAAAACCCTAATCCCTAAGAGGTCGGCAACGCACTCGTAACTCCTCCATTGCGGGTATCCATGGGCGGTGCTGATTGCTTACCATCAGGAAATCCGTCTGCTCGTTTTTATTACATAAAAAAAATGTTACTTTTGGAGTTAAGGGTTACACAGTTAGTTGATGTTGGATGTGATGTCAACAAATCTCTCGCACTGACCAAAATATATATTGTTATCATTCATCATAAAACAGATAAAGAAAATAAATGAAAGCACTCGTAAAGTAAGTCAAATAATAACGACTTACTCACGCGAGATTAGAACAAGTAATATCTATAAAGTCAAAGTCAAAATCATTTATTCCAACTAAACCCTAAATATAGGTACATACTTTTGAAACATCAAAATAGAATAGTTGTCTGTGTGTATACAATTGTAAGTCGTATGATTCACGATAGTAACTACTAATAAATTATTTGAATAATATACTAAATATGTCAATCTACTTTTTTTTCAGAATACTTGTTTATCTTTAGCTCAATTTCTTCGAGTTATTAGTGCAGTGGCAGCTGAATATACTCTTCTATGATTATAAATATTAAAAATATAATCTTCATCACACAGCTAGCGAAAGCAGAGAAATCAATAGAACGTCGAGATCGCCAGCTGAGCAGCCTCACAACGAAACTGGAAGCAGCACATAGCGAGCAAGAAGCAGCTACGACCAGAAGTGCCCAGCTGAGGGAACAACTGGAAACTATGAACGCAGACTTAGACAGGGCCAGGACAGAACTCTCAAATACTTCGAAGGAACTTAAGGTAAAAATTTGTAAGTTTGTATGTAGGGGGTAATCTTTGGAACCACTGGTCGGATTGCCAAAACTCTTTCACTGATAGTTAGCTACAGTGTCCTTGAGTGCTATAGGCTTACAGCCTATAGCCTAACATCACGCTACGATCAAATGGAGCCGAGCAGCGGGTGAAACCGTGTGAGAGTAGCTTGTTACTCATGTGTAATATGTATAATATTTGTTTTGCTCCATACTGGTGGTGTGTGAGTGGCTATGGTTGGACTATGTTTTAAACTCATGGAAATTTGTGCTATCGTATTCAGCGCGTCACGAATCAAATTCAGAGATCTTTATTGTGAGACAGCAATAAGTTCGTACTACTTAAGGTATTATTTTTCATTTTTAAATGTGTTAATCCTATTGGAGGAAATACAGCAGTGCTGTTAACAGCAATAATGATTAAAAGAATTTTGATAACTCGTGGTAAATCGTTAGGTAATGTCTATAAGAAAAAGCATAGGACCCAAAATACTTCCCTGTGGTGCACCATATTGAACATCGCTGGCTCAAACGCACGACACTTTTGTGTAAGACATAAAAAAAGCTTATTTATTTCTTTTTCGTTACTTCTGGTTTAAATACGTATTTATCAAGTCCAGAGCATTACCTCGTTTGACGTAGCCATTCAGTTTTTCGATTTTGGTAGCTAGTAAATTCATAATCCACATGGACCATTCTCATGACTAGGCTTTAACTATGATATACATCCTACATAACCCTTAACATAGGCCCACAATCCATAAGTCAAAGGGTAAATAGAACCTGAAAATATATCGACAAAAATAAACACAGATAGATAATAGAAAAGTTTTATTCCTCCAGAATGCAATCGACGACAACAACAAAATACGTAACGAAGCGGCGAAGCTTTCGAAGCAGTTATTACAGCAATCCAAGAGGTACCAGCTGCTGGAACATAACAAAGTTGGCGTCGAAACTGATCGGTAAGGATTATGTTTTTTGAACAGTATCTAATTTTTAAGAACCAAAAAATTCACATCTTGGGCCATAATTTACGTAAGTCGTATGAGGTAGTCGACGTAGCCGTCGGCCAAAAATAAATTTTCTTATTATTAAGGCAGTTGATATTTCTTTTAAGTGTAGGAGTGATAACACTTCTTCCTTCCAAAAAACGGGCGTCAAACAACCAACAGCGTTGTGTGAGTGAGGTTAACGAAGTCTCAGTATAATGCTAATGATTAAGTTTCGCAATTAATCACCCTATTGATTGGTTGATTATCATGATGCAGTGAGCGTCTTCGGCAACAAGTGTCGGTGATGGAGCGCGATCTGATGATCAACAAGAAGCAAGCTGAGTCCGACAGGAGAGATATCGAGAATTTGAAACGGGAGAAAGACATTCTCAACAAGAACATTCAGAAGATACAGAGTAAGTTATGTATAACAATATGTATTTAGGATTAAACGAGTAGGCAAACAAATACTTTCGAACGAATGGTAAGTGATTTCGTTTACGATTACTGTTACGACTACGATTACTATGACAAATACGGATATGATTAAGATCACGATAGACACAAGACATAAATACGACGATAACGAGACATGGACAGAAAATAAAAAGAGGTTAAAAATACTTTCGCAACTAAAGACTATTGACTATACCATGATTGATAACTAAGGATCCGGTAACGATTATTTGGTGACGATGACGATTAAGAATACAAATAAGATTAATATTACGGCTACGACTATGTTGACGATTATGGTGATCGGTGATTGATGATGTACTGACGCTAATATAATTTCCCAGATGAAGCATTAGAAAACCTGAATATGCTGGACCTACAAGAACAGAGACGCAAGCAGTTGGAGCACGAGCTGGACGTTAACACTGCGCAGATACAAAAGCAGCGACTCATGATACGCACCTTCGAGAAGGACAAAGATAGGTAGGTCTTGATAGCCCAGATGTGATAAGGAAAAAACCCACGTGACTTTTTTAAGTTATATGAACTTTCTTACACCAGGTTTCCGAAGGCCCGATCAATGTTAAAATCAATTTAATCTCTTGTCAAGTCAACTGATTGGTTGACTGAATTATCAACAACCAATCAGATGACTTGACAAGAGATTTAACAGATGATTAGTTAATTTTAGCGTTGACAAGCCTTTCAGAAACCGGGTGTTAGTGTATTCAAACACCACTATATATACTATACACCACGATAAAAGATGAAGGAAACAAACAGTTCCCCTTGAGGGCTAGGTTTTTATGAATTTCTGCCGTAACATATTTATTTATTTAACATTTTATGTACATACAAAAAATATATACAAAGGAGGACTTGATGCCCGCATCAATTTACAAAAAATTACAAGAATTAATAATAATAATGACTTAATTAACATAGTACCTACCAAACTTTGACACTGATACGTATCTTCAATTAAATAAATGTCTGTTTCTTTTTCTTCTTCATACATCTCACCTGGATTTAAATGAATCAATCCTTTTTTCTATTTGTCCAAATCCTTATTAGAAATCAATAACAACTGCATATTTTCGCCTATTATTCAAATACGTTTTTAAATGTATCCTCTTTCCAGGATGTTGGAGGAGACGATTGCTCTTAACGAGAAAATTGATGAAATAACAGGTAAGTATTACAACCTAACCTTATTTTACAAGGGTCTAGAGTCTACCAGACTTCATACTTACGGGGCAAGCGTAATGAGTTCCCGCGACCTAGGCCTGGAGCAGATTTTTTTTTTTGTCAGGGGAAAAACATTAAATGACCTCTCCCGCACAGGGAAGGCGAGAAAGAGTGTTAGACTCTTATTTACTGACTAACAACCCCCCCGTTCCTTCTCTGAGCAGAAGAAGATACGGGGGAGTTTTTAGTCAGTAAGGGTCTGACAGTACCTCTCGCCTCGCCCTGGGCGAGGGAAGTTGATGATTTGCTAAAAAGACCTACATATACATACATTCTGGAGTAAAGCACATATGTGTGAACTTTAATGATTCGTTATTTTATTAACTTAATTATCAACCACCAATTTGACAGAGGAAGTACGCCTCCGTACGGCTGATATCTTGGATCTGAAGAAGGCACTTCGCGAGGAAACCATAAAATCTCGCAAACTGTCCGTCGCACTAGACGCTACTAGAGCTGAAAGAAATATGCTGCACAAGAACTATACTGAAGCCCTAGATGAGATACAGGACTTGAAACAGAAAATGAAGGTAGGTAAATTGCTGTTAAAGAGCTTGCAAGAATGATTTTTTTAGTATCTTAAAATCTTTGTAATGGTTTCACATAAAAAGTACAAAAATATCTATGTATATGATAACCTAAAGAAAATCTTGGATAAAACTGTTTAAGCTTTAAATACTTAGTACGGGATAAAGTTTTTACTGAAAAAAAATCTTTAATAAAACTGTTTAAGCGTCAATAGTACAGAATAAACTTTTTACCGAAATTACAAAGTAAGATTCAAACGTAGCGCAAATACTCTTTTCATCATCTCCTCTCACTCTACTCCTAATTCACAGATGCTAGCATACCAAATAGAACAGCTGAAAGAAGATATAAGTGGCAAAGAATCTGGTCTGAAGTCATGCGAAGGTTTCCTCGGGAAATGTAACAAGAAGAATGAGCAGTTGAGAATGGAGATACAGAATGGACTCGCAAAATTGTCTGAAGCGAGAGCTGATATTGCCGCCTTGAGGCAGGAGGAGGCCAGGCTTAATAGGATCGTGCAGGTTAGTCACATCTATGTAAGCGTAGACATATTTCGCAGAATCTTAATCCAAAATCTCAACTAGATTGTGATCGGAAAATCAATACAAATAATGTTGAAAATCATTTTCAATCCACAATTATATATATACATTACAATAAGTACCTGATCTTGCGGTCGTTGTGAAATGTCGGTAGACTGAATTTTGCCAGGAAATTGTCTCATTCTTGAATAAGAAGAAGTGATCATTGATTACTACGTTCACTCGAAGGGGCTTTGTGAAAGTTTGTGAGAACGTATGGCAATACGCAAAAACGCCAAGGCCGATTTGCTTGAAATTTTGTATAAAGATAGGCGATGTTCTGGAATAACACATGCTTTTTATCAACATACCACGAAGACGAAGTCGTGCGCAAACACCTATAAGTAATTATTAAAAGATAAATGGAAAATGTGACTCTTGTTCTTCATTATCGTAACAAATAACTTTTTCTACACTTTTCTTACCAAAAAACTGTCCTATAATTTGTCCAGGGTCAAATACAAGTGTCGTTTTATAAAACTGCAGTACAAATGACTCTGCACAAAAACAATATTGACAATTAATTAGTAAAATTGTTTTGTTTGAAAAACCAATTTTATTTTATGCCCATTTATCGTAGTACGTTGATAATCTTCTCAGAAATTATCAATAAGATATGGCTTTTTTATAATTCGATTACTTTTTTAGTTTTTCTGTAAGCCATCTTACAGAATCGAATCGTTTCTCTGAATCGCTTGTCGAGGTGACTATAAACTACAGAGTGTACAACTATCCATTAAACTGTCAAATTATTGACAGTGACAGCTGATTTTCTAGTTTGTTTTTTTTTTGTCTGTTACTGTGTTTACAATACAATTGTAGTTCCAACCTTACTTTCTGTATCTATAGTATAGTTTTTATTCATGTTATAAGTAGGCATACGAGCAGACGGATTACCTAATGGTAAGCAATCAGCGCCGCCCATGGATACTCGTAGTACCAAAAGAGTTACTGCAAGTACGTTCCGGGCCCTTTGTGGGTTATTAGGAAATTAAGGGATTTGAGGATTGAGGATGGGGGGAGAGTTAAAGGTTTGGGCCTCCGGTGACCTCAATCACACAGCGAAACACAACGTACGAATGTGTTGCTTGATGCAGGTTTTCTGTGAGGCCGTGGTATCACTCTGGTCGAGCCGGCCCATTCGTGCCAAAGCATGGCTTTCCCACACTTTTTTTTTCATGCGCTGGCTGTGAATTATTACTTACCAATCAGAATAGGGAGAATAGAGAGATCAGATAATCAGACTTTCAGCATGTCTAAATATCATACAGGGATATAAGGCATATAATCATACTCTGTGAACATACCATACGATGGATATGATTAAAGAATTATTCAAATCAGTCCTGTAGTTTTGGTGCTCATTCAACCTCTTTTTTTCTGGTAATGCGTGCTTTGTCTCTGGTAAAAGCTAGGTACAAATTCAAAAACGGAATATTTGTCGACGACTCAGATTAAAAATTACGACATTTTATTAGTTTAACTGACCTGTCACGCTACTATCTAAATAATTAATTTCGTTTAAATGCAATCATTAGAAGGATTCATTTTTTTATTCTTAATCGTAGGTTATGATCGTCATCATAGATCGCCTAGTAAGCACGCGTATTACCTAATGGACCTGCAACACCTGACTAGTTACCAGCCTTTTGGAGATTAGAGTTTCGATGATTTAGGGATTGGGGACGAATGCTCCCCTAAATAAAATAAAATAAGCCTTTATTTCTGAGTAACAGTTAATTCTTAAGTATCATAATTTTTAATCGGTATGTTTTCCTCAGTTTGTCTTTTGACATGGCCTCCTTTAATAGTTTCCACGTATCGTCTCGCAACTCTCATCCACAATGGTCCCCCAGTTCCTTTTAAGTCGTCTTCCCAGCGTCTTGAATGTCAACCTTTGCTCCTTTTCCCATCTCCCAACAATAAACTTCCAAATGACCTAAAAACTCTTAACCTTATGTCTTTTAAAAGAAAATTGTTTGAGTTTTTGCTATATAAATGTTATTATTGCACTAAAGATTATTCAGATGACCTATTATAAATTTAAAATAAGTAGTTCATAGTTATAACTAGATATTAAGCTAAATAATTTGTACACCAATTCGGTAGAATGTGTGAGATTCCATACACATAACACAAACACCTATATTTGTCCTACATTCTCACAAATAAATATTTTCTTTATTTCTCTCCCTTGTTTCTTCCCAATTCCAAAGGGAGTGATATGATTTTTTTAAATTAAAACGAAAATTTAAGAGAGTATTCATAATACCACTTCAATATTTAATTAGAATGCTGATTCCCATTTTCGAATTAATTTCTCATCATCAGCCTATAAGTGCCCACTGCTGAGCAAAGGCCTCTTCTCATACGGAGAAGGTTAGAGCGTTAATCACCACGCTTGCTCAATGCGGGTTGGCGATTTCAAACTTATAATTAGAAATTATAAGTCCAGGTTTCCTCACGATGTTCACCTTAACCGTATGTCGTCAGTGGTGTCTAAATAATCAAAGAAAGTACATATAACTCGGAAAGTCACATTGGTACTTGCCAGGTTTCGAAGCCCCACCCTCATGCATGAGAAGCGGGCTCCTTAACCTCCGGGCCACCACGACATCATAAAATTTCTCATCAAAGTTTAATCTAAGTATGGTTTGATTAGGAAGGTGATACAGCTCGAGCTAAGCTCATCAAGGAGTTGGAAGGTCTGATGAACGAGCGTGATGTGGTCGGCGCTCAACTTGTGAGGAGGAACGATGAGATCTCGTTGCTTTATGAAAAGATACGGATACTTGAAATCACACTACAAAGAGGTTAGTAATATAATTTACTAGCTCTTCCCTCGTGGTTTTACCCGCTCCTCGGCTGCTTTTGGTCATAGTGTCATAGCATGATGCTTAATATTAATAGCCTTCTTTAAATTTTTTTTTAAATACCTTGCCCTACTTTAGGATTTTCTCCTGTGTTGTGGGTGCGTTTACAAACATACAATGTCACATACACAAGACACCCAGACCCGAAACAACAATTTGTGGATCACACAAAGTGTTGTTCCGTGCGGGAATCGAACCCGCGACACGTTGCGCGGCAGCCAGTTGGCCAGCCACCGCACCAACCGTGCAGTAAAAAAAATGGACTGTCAAACACAAAAGAATTGTTCAATTCGAACCAGGACTTCGGAGATTAGCGCGTTCAAACAAAACCTTTACAATATTAGTATAGATAGGTATTAGGTATAGCCAGACACCTTCAAAAATATCTGTCTCATCTGTCGCAAGGTCGCAAGCGTGATTGTCAAACAAGGTTTATATCTCAGGTCAAGTCCGGGGTTTTTATGGGATAAAGCTGCAAATGACGCCACGGATTGCCTGGTGGAAAGCAATCGGTGCTGCCCACGGATACCCACAACATCCATAGAGTTTCAAATGCGTTGACGGCCTTTTCAGAATCAGGGATTTATGGATTACGCCTTCGATAACCTCGCGCACACAAAATAAATCACCGTGATATCACTCCTGTCGAATTGACCACTTTCGTGCCGAATCGAAATGGGTAGGTACAAAAGTGGTCTGGCCATTTCAATTTCAACTGAAAATAATATATTCAAAATTCTTATAACGAATTAATAGCTGGGATCCATTTGTACATAGATTGAGGTAGTAAATATATTGAGATTGAAGTCATCCATATACTCGTAGCAGTCTGCAAGGTTCGATATGGAATGAACTCATTGTTCTCCGAATAAATAGATATGGTCTTTACTTTGTAAGGTGAGCGTCAATACGAGCAGCGTGTGGAAGATATCAGACTACTCCGACTGGAGATCATACGACTACGCAAGGAGAAAAACTTGCTGTCCAAGGGAATTGAGAATATGACCGATTTGAGGCTCGAGGTAATTTTTTCTTTCGTCGTCGAAACAGCCAAAATACCTAATGTATTTCGGCTGTTTCTTACACCTGCTCACATCTCTTTTATGAAGATGAAACTATAATGAAATCAAATCTACATTCACTAATTGTATGTAAATTTGTAAGTTTCTTCTTAATTCATCCATGACACGCAAAAGCAGCCTATTTGTCCAATCCTCAAATAAGCAGCCGTCTTACCTGAAGGTAAGCAATCGACGTCGCCCATGAGCACCTGCAATACCAAGACGAGTATTAAGTGCACTGCTCACCTTTTGGATGTTGTCAGGAAATTGACGTTTGAGGATGAGCCTCCGGTAAGCTCCCTTACACGGCGAAACAACGAAAACGTTGTTTCAAAACGATTTTTTATGAAGTCGAGGTATTATTCCGGTAAACTGGCCTATTCGGACCGAAGCATGCCCAACCCACACTTGTTCATCTTTCTTAAATTTCACTGTCTTCTGAATAATTATGCTAACGAAAATGTCCTATCCTATAAACTGAAGGCCATTTTCACTTCGTTTCATTGTTCCCCAGGTATTCAACCTGGAACGTGAGTTAGGTAGGGAGCGTCTCCGAGTGCGAGCGTTAGAGGAAGCGCTGGAGACTCCACTGAACGTGCACCGGTGGCGCAAGCTGCAGGGCACCGACCCGGAGAGCGTGCGACTCACACAGAAACTCCGGTTGACGCAGAAGTAAGTCACGTTTGGGCACCTTATAGTGGCATTAAGATTATATAAGCTCTAGTGCATGGCACATCCTCATACAAACACACACACATACATATAGGTACTAAATCTTACTTTCTCACTTCTAACTATTATTATAAATGCGAAAGATACGATGTTTGGATGTTTGTGACTTAATCACGCCAAAACGGCTGGACGGATCTGGATTAAATTTGGCACAGGCATAGTATACACTTCGTAATAGGACATAGACCTGATGGTAAGCGATCGGCGCCGCCCATGGACACCTGCAGCACCAGAGGAGGCACAGGTGCGTTGCCGGCCTTTTAAGCCTACGTAGTGCCAAAGAGTCCAGCCGGTCCGAGACAACAGGGCAGTCAACAATTCGGACAGCTCGTCGCTGAATGCGGCCCAGAGGGAGAAGCTGGTACTGGGGTGCCCCCGCCCAAAGACGAGAACAGTATTCCATATGGGGCCGAACTTGCGCCTTGTAAAGTAGCGGGCGATGCCCCGGGGTGAAATACTGCCTCGATCTATTCAAACCACCAAGCTTCTTCGAGGCTAACTTGGCCTTGCCTCTAGATGACCGCAATAAGCATGCGAAGGGCTATAAGCACCAGATGATGGTGCCTCCTATTCCATAAAGAAAAATGTATTACGAGTAATATGTCGAAATATTTGTTGTCTTGTACGTCATCGGTATTACCATCGTCCTCAATTTGACGAAAACTATGCACGTCACTCTGGTAGCAAATAGTAATTAATCAGTATTGGAGTACTCTGTAGGATTTCACACGCGTTAAAAACGTGTAAAACAAACGAATTGCATAAATTGTCTACTAAGAAGCGAAAATTATTTGCTTAAAACAAATATTTTTGTGGGTATTTCGTTGCAGAACTTCGTCGTAACTACCTTAGTCTAGTTTGTTTGAAAATTGTTTTTTTAACTGAATCATTTTTGACGATTTCTAAGAAGTCGTTTCTTATGGTGTTTATGAATACAGACGGAAGGGCTGATGATCAGCCGGGGTTGCGGGGCAAGCGCATTAAGGCACCGCGGCCTCGGCCTAGGCCAGGAGAAGAATCAACAGTCAAGAACAGTCACGATATTCCATATTCAACTCTGTTTCAAACGAAATTGAAATTTGTTGGTCCATGCGTTTATTTGCGGTTTTAGCATTGATATGAGTAGACGTTACAAAGCGTCAGGTAAGATTAAACGGGGTCTACTAGCAGACCAACCACGACAGGACACGCTCTGGGCGTCGAAGATTCCAAGACGATCTCTCGCCAACATACGTAGCCCGCTGCCCGCCCTATTTGAACCAGACCCGAAACAAATTGTGGAGTCACTAGGACCGATATCAAGCCGGGGTAGCTAAATAATTGCAGGGACCACTTGGGGCACTTGAGTCTGACTCTCCCGTAGGGAGACTTCCTTGGGTCCTAGTGACTCCCGTCTTTGTTCCGGGTCTAGTTCAAGTAGTTAGGCGGTCTACTTAAGGTGGCGAGAGATCGTCGTGCGATCCCCGACGCCCAGATCGTCTCCTGTCGTGGTTGGTGTGCTATCCTAACCTGACGCTTTCTAACATATACTCACACCAATGCTAAAAGCTTAAGTCTAGATGCCCCGACCAACAAATTTCAATTACGTTTAAAACAATTAAATATGGAGTATGAAACAATTCAACATTCACTTGACTGATGCTTGTATTGATGGGGTTTTGTCACGCGTAGTATCGTGCCGTCACTATAATCGCTGGCCGTGCTAATTGGCCATACAGCCGACATTACAAGCTGGATTCATTGAATCATGTTGTCTGTTATTATTTGTTAACTAAATTGCTAATGCCATGAAGATATCCTGCGATTACGATGAGATAATCGCAATAAAAACTTGCTGATACAAAATAGGTAATCTAGGTATAAAGATATTTCTGTGACGGTCCCCTTTAAAATAGCCTGGATTTCTAGGGTACTCTGATTTTAACGGCAAAACGCCCATAGATACCCGCAACACCAGAAGAAAGAAAGAAAAATATTTATAGAAGAGTTAACGAGTACGTGGCCGGCCTTTTGTGGATTAGCGTGTAGGATTTGAGAGTTTGGGGAACGATTGAGGGAATGCAAGAAGTACTCTCACTCATACGGCGAAGCAGAACGCTGTTGTTGTTACACGCCATTAATTAAGACGGTATATAGAAAGATCTAAATTATTTTTAACACTAGCAAGTTTCTGTCTTAATAGCGATTGTACAACGAACTGTTTTAACAGTAAAATTCATTATTTATGAAGTACCTAAATAAAATCAACTTTTAAGTTTATGTATTGTACCTAAATCTCGCCATCATCTTTGCATTTTTCATCAAAAAAATTATTTATCTATGTTGATTATAATCTTGAATCCATGAATAATCACAGTTACAAATTAATCCTGATTAGCACCATAGGTACTAAACTTCTTGCGTTGAAGCTTCAATTATGGCCATTTCATAACAATCGTTGTGCAATTATTTCCAAGCAATTTCTACCAAAAATGGCCACAAGTTAACAGCATAGTGATTGATCCAATCTTAGTAAATCCAGTCACGTAGGCAACTTATAGGTAGAACAAATCTAATTAGTCGGTAATAAAGCCCTTGGAAAAATAACCCACTGTGTTTGAAATTGCGCTTGACAATAGTCAGACGTAAAAAGGTACCAATAATCGAACTCTGACATGAATAAGAGCAATAAAGTTTAAAACCGACAGGAAATTACGTTGATTTTAACAGAAGAATAAGCTTCAATTAATTTGTAATTAAGTTTAAATAACATAAGTCTACAGTTTTTATTGACAATGTCGTAATTTGTGACAAAAAGTGCTAAGACATTGACCGTATTGTTCCAGCCTTGATCTTCTGTCTTATTAATGGTGTCACTCTGTAACGGATTGTTATTGCGAATTAAATATTATTAAATTAATAATTTGAATATCTAATAACTATTGAGACAAATAACGGCTTACGTGATTAAGTTGAGAAAAGCTCAAGTCACAACGGGACTATTATTCATGGGTGACATTGCAAAACCATCTGAATCAGCCGTTCGTTATTTGCAATTAATTAATTAATTTGGTCTTATAACATCATAATTTATTTGTTGTGATGATTTTTGAGCTTTCTATACGCAATACAAATTCCAGTCTAGGCACTCAGAGCTATGAAGATCGCTGTTAGAAGTCTCAACTTTTATCAGCGACTGCCGCTACCCGATCTCTGTCAAATTCGGAGCATTGCGGATTCTTTAATACTTAGTCAACTCTGGTGATAGCCGCAAAGAAATCCTATAAGACTAATGTATTGTACCCTGAATTCACTACAAGGCTCCAAAAGCTTTATTGTAAGCTAAATTATTTTAAGTGAGGGAGAACCATGTTTCGGCACAACCGGAGTGATACAAGGCCTCACAGACCGGCGTGAAACAACTACAGCGTTGTGTTTTACCGTGTGAGTGAGGTTACCGGAGGCCCAATCTTTTCCCCAATCCCGAAATCTCTAAATCCTTAATCCCCAAAAGGTCCGCAACGTACTCGTAACTCCTCTATTGTTGCGGTGTCCATGAGCGGCGCTGATTGTTTATAATCCGTTTTCTCGTTTGCCGACCTATCATATAAAAAAGTACCATATTATATTTGTAGGAAAGTGCTAGCTCAAAGCGAAATGCTTGTGTTGAAAGACCGGGAGCTGAAGGAAACTCGGAACCTGTATGCTGCGGTCAAAGACATGCTGGCGTTGCAGCCTAGTCCAGAGATACAGGTACAGAATAGTTTTTAATATTAAAAAGGCAACAAATAAATTTTGCCGTGACAATAAAGTTAGTTATCTAAAATCACTTAGATAACTAATAATTATTGATTTAATTAATAATCAGACCGAGAAGACTTCTAATTCTATTTAGTCACAACACAGTACATAAATAAAAAAACCTACGGATAAAAAAAAATGTCTATGACAAGATCGATGGTCAGATTTTGTCGTGGTTAGTTCACGCATTGGTTTTTTCTCATATAAGTTCTTATTATTATACTTATGTAAACTTCTTACGGAGTAGACAGAGTACAACTATAAAATAATGAAAAGAAAAAATACTTTTTTTTTGCTTTCAGGTAACATTGAATCGTACACAACGGGCTCTCACAAATAGGACCACGAAAATGAAGTGTTTAATCGCAGGTTAGATGCAATTTTTCTTAAAGCTCATATTGTTAATAAGTAATAATAATATCAGGGCAAAGAGAATATAACATTCTCTTTGTATCAGTGGCACGGGCCATAGTATTTCATACTTATTATCATGTCGACTAGCCCATAGCAATCCATATCATATTATATATAATATTATTGAAATATAAGGTATCAACCTACTTCGCGGAATGGATTTTAGTGATTCGACAACCATGAAGCTAGGTCAAGCATAAAATTAGATACTAACTTTTTAATGGTTTATTATGATTGGTCTAACTAGCCAATGAAGGAGATAAAGGTAGACCATCATTTTTTTACTAATAGTTCATGATTGAAATGGATTTAGTCTCTTGAATATAATTTAAGATCAAAACCAATACCAAAATTCTTTTCAGAGCTAAGCATGCGTGAGCGTCAAGTAAGCGATCAACGCTTAGAACTGGATCGTGTCAATAGCGAACTGCACTCCTTTAAACAGAAATATTTTGAAATGAAGAGGGCGTTAGACGCTGACGAAGCGAGAAGATTGAAGGTCGCAACACCACCGTCGGCAATAAGACCAACACCAGCTGTGGTTCCTTAGTGGAAATTACAACCTTAAGTTAGTAATCGAGTCTATTACACATAACGGCGAAATGAAAAATCAAGGTATGACAATAATAACTGTAGGTGTTTATTCATTATTATTTATTCCCTCAAAATCTAAAAACTTTTGCTAATGAAACCTTTGATTAAAATCACCACCAAGAAGGCTACAATGTGGTGATTGACAGTGGTAGTTGAAATATGTATGTATGCAGTTACTAACTTCTGATTTAGGGACAATTAATATGAATACCTACAAAGAAATACAAGCGTAGTACTAGAAAGCGACCTGGACTTTAACCTACCTTTTTATCCATTACACTATTATTTCTTGAGCTTTATAAAATCCAAGAGATATGAACAGGAATCCAGTTTGCAACAAATACCTTTATCGAATTTGCGAAGGTCCCAACAATGTTCTTACAGAATTGTCTTTAATATCGATTGTAATAATGTTTGTAATTCGTTGTAGCATCGAAATATTAATTTACTTTTTAGGGATAATATACACAGACTATGTGCCAATTTTTACGTACGATCTCAAAACTGCATGAAATGTTGTATTTGTAAAACTTTTCGTTTTTAAAGTTACAAATGTGAAATATATTGCCAGTAAATAATGTATTTCTAACTTATAAAATGTGCTATAAGTGAAGAAAGCAGTGGTCGCGTCGAGATGTATTTCAATAGTTTAGTAATATTATATTTGTTATTTGTACGTATTGTAGTAGTCAATCAGAACTGAAAACGCAAAAGGTTGACATTTGTTTGATAATAAATAAAACACTCAGGTAATTAATCCGAAAACAATAGTTTTATTTAAGAACTTTTCACTTTCTCATAAAATATACACATTGTTTTTGTCATTAAACTAAACTGTAAGTAAATACTAATTTTTAAATACCAATTCTCACGATTGTCAAACGGGTGCACGGCGGGGCGGTGCCCCTCTATTGCGTTTCGGTTCTAAATTTTATATTCATGGTGTTCTTTCATGTTCATGTACAAATTCGTCACTTAAACTCTATTTAAAAAAAATATTCAAATGAAGGATGATTTTGTACATTTTCAAAGTAAAAAAAAAGAAACACGAAGACATCCGTTTTCTCATTAATAAAGTGTGATGATAGAATTCTACAGTCCTTTTGTTGATTACTTAAAAATAACAGTTCGAATGCATGCGCTCGGGCCGGACCGGGGCCGCGGCCGTGTGGGTACAAACAAATGCGATCAAATGCTCATAGACCAGGGGCTGGGACCATGCATCGAACCTACGCGTACCGCAGTACACAGTATAACTCCAGCGCTTTGATTCAACACACACACGGGGTACAATACGTCTGAATAACGCGATAATAATGTCAAATGTGTATGTGTTTTAAATGAGACTGACAGTTTTAATGACTTTCTTTTTGTACATTTTAATTCAATATAAAAATCTATTTAATTACCCGCCAAGGTAAGCACAAAAGCCTTATACAAATTTACATAAAACTCGTGGAACCTTTGATTCCATTCGTTTCTAAATTAACTTTTCCAGCCATCGTTGTCGTTGTCAAGCGTACCGGTAAGCTAACTATCGCTGACCATATACAAAATACTGGGCAGTGATAACTTTAGAGCTTTATGATTCTAAAAACCTATTCCAACGAGCTCTCACGCGTATGTCATTTTATTATTCGCTGTACGCGAAGTAGTTGTCCACTTAGTATGAAACTTATCTACTCCACACAGTGGGTCATCATTTTTTCATTAGCAGCTATAGAAGACAACGTGGCATTACTTCACCGCACAACGTACACGATGCTCGACTGTGTGGAGTAAAGTAGTAGTTAGACTTATTATCGCATTATTTACACGTACAAGTACACAGAACATACACGTTTCGGCCCGCGATCAGTACACGCATTTTACCATAACAGTATCTATATATAGCTGTCCCAACTTACCAAATACAAACACAGAATCAACTATTCGCTCATAACGCGCGACGTTTGCATCGAGACGGGCGTGCATTTCACAAGGAATCTCATAATCACACTGAAATAAAACTGTGTACAGTCACACACAACATTCCTGCAAGCCATATGCACTAATTATAATTATTTGTCTCCTTGACGTATATAAAACATGTTCGAGAACCGATTTAGCTCGATTCGTTTGCATACTTTCAAAACTTCAATAGTTGTTACGAGTGCCTCGTTTATATCAATCTCGTTTGTGTCAAAATCTTATTTTTTATTGTCAGTTAACATGAAATCGACTATGAAAATCACGACGTAGGAAATAAATGGAGTGCTTCTCGATAAATCACTTAAATCGTCAGGTAAATCAAAATAATTACTATTGGAGGCACAATCCTTATTGGAGAATGCCTGCGTATTTATATTATTAACATTAATTTCACAGTCAATTCAAGCGTCCCATTTGTCTCCTATCCCGCGAAGGAACATATTTCACTATAAAACAAAATGTTTGAGGACAGACAGACAGACTCACTCGCCGCGGATCGAACCGACGCACTAAAACTCACTAATTTACTATTTTATAATATAAAGCGTTGTGTCGCCTCTATGCAAACGCCGCGACTACATTATTATATCACTCGTTGGCTTACGACATAGGTACTTATGACATAATTGCGATGGAATCAATAAAACTATTGTTTGTTTGTATGTTTGTTTAGTCGCTCGGCGTGATCACGGTACTGTAACGTAGCGCATCTTCGTCGCCTAATGGACGTCGGAGCTCTCCTGCTTCAACTGATGGTTGGCCGGATCCGACGTGTTGATTGGCTGTAACGAAAAAACGAACATGATTCGTCGGCTGTAAAAAGTATGAGATAGCATGGTGTCGATGTGGAAGGATGATGATGAAGTGTGGTGTTCGTGTTAGTTTGGCGGTGCATTAGTAAGAGCGCGAATTACCAGCGCACTGACCAGGGAGATGGGCGGCTGCGGCGTGATGGGCGCGTGCGGCGTGTGTGGCGCGATGGGCGCGTGCGGCGCGTGCGGCGCGGGCTGCGGCGCGGGCTGCGGCGCGGGCGCGTCGTGCACGGCCGTGGTGGAGTGCGCCGCCTGCGCCGCCGCGTAGTACCCGCCGTTGATGCTCTCGGGGTAGGGCGCGGGCGGCGCGGCGGGCGCGGCCAGGGGCGCGCCGCCCAGCGCGCCGCCGGCGAGCGCGCCGCCGCCGAGGAAGTAGTCCTTGTTCACACAGTTCCGCAGGCAGTCGGGGATGCGGCCCACGATGGCGCGCCGTATCTCTGACGCGGCCATTTCGCGTAACTCCTGTGCCGACGCGTCCGAATAGAAAGCCGCATGGGGAGTGCACAGCACGTTTGGCGCGTCTTTCAACGGGCCCTGCAACATAGCACGTAACATTACATGTAAATTAATATTTCCAAAGAACTTTCACTAAATAAAAATATGTAAATATAAGAAGAAACATTCAAAACGATCATAAAACAAATAGCAATACGAAATATTGGAAGTAGAAATTAAACTTTTACAAAAATTTTATATCAACTGTTTAAAAGTTGAGTAACAATTACTTATTTGCTAAAATGTGTAATGTGATATTATAGTACGCACCTGGAACACGTTGAAGGGTTCATTCTCGTGCACGTCGAGCGCGGCAGCCCGGATGCGGCCCTGCTTGAGCGCGGCGGCCAGGCCTTCGTCGTCTACTAGCCCACCGCGCGCCGTGTTCACCAGAAACGCGCCTGAAACAAAAACAATTAATGGTTTAACACTACATCTCTACATATCCCTTGCAAAACTGTAGGTATTCATTTCCTACTTAGGTACGATTTTTACAAGCAAAAAACAACAAATGATATTTGATATAATACATTCTGAAACAAATTTTGGAGAATCTCTGAGAACAAATCTGAGTAGTTGAGAATGTTGCATATACCTGGGCGCATCTGTTTAATAGTGAACTCGTTGATGAGGTGGTGATTGTGTTCGTTTAAGCTGCAATGCAATGATACACAATCACTTTGGAATAGAAGGTCCTGAAAACAAAATACATGCATATTTTAATATATTACACTACCACTTTACATATACAAAGTTTTTAATTTAAATAACCTCGAATTTCTTAAAAAAACCATGTCTTGAGAAGCTTGAGACGTTAAGATGAGATGGTGGGAAGTCTCTTTGGTGTTACAGAGCTCTATACACTACAGATATCAGCTTTCTAGCACCTACTACCGCTGAGTAAGGCAAAATTAGATTCAATGATTAAGAGCTACACTATAGCGACTTCTGTCCTATGGTTTACTAGCTAGTCGTCCGCGACCTTTAAAGAAGTAAGTATAATTTACCTGAAGTGTGTAGACCCTGGTTAGACCGAGCGACTTCTCAATGCCGTCGGGCAGGTAGGGGTCGTAGAAGATGACGTTGAAGCCGAATGCCTTGGCCCTGAGCGCCACGGCCGAGCCGATGCGGCCCAGCCCCACGATGCCCAGCGTGTCGCCCCGGATGCGCGCGCAACCTGTCGCTGCCTCGCGCACCTGCTCCGGTCCTGCAATTACATGGTTTTTAGAGTTTTCCAACCAGAACTGTACTCACGCGCATTTATAATTGCACAAGTTTGATTATAATAGTTTAAAGATTATTAATATTCAAACCGAATACAATTAAGAAACAGTGTCAGTTAAATTTAATTAAAATCTCAATAGCTTTTATATGATATTTATATTTCCCATTCAAATTTTAAACATTTGTTTAATATCAATCAGATATAGAGGGTTACTATTGTATGGTAACAACGCAACGTTATCACTGCATGTTGTAAGATACCTACAATGTATATCAAAATAAATGGCTTGAACAATAACAATATATTTATAGGTTGCACGTGTCTAGCCGTAGTAAAGTAATTCATTAGTACATTGGTACAGTACTATTATACTTCAAGGGCAAACATTCCGCCACGTTGACGTATTCATTAGTATTGGAAAAGTAATGTGTTGGCAATTTGTGTGATGAAAACTATTTTAACATGACCTATATTTGAGTCGATAAGTAAATGGACATAGTATGCCTGTTTCAAGTCTAGGAACACTTTTAATTTGTTTAATATCTAGTAAGTGTTTCACAAGAATGTGGTTTACCTGTGAATTTTTTCCCTTCCCGCACCATGTTCGCGAGCCAGTACGTCCGCCGATATAAGTTCAATATGAGACACATTGTCGTGTCTGCTACTTCTTCTACACCGTAGCCTGGTACATTACATACCGCTATGCCTGAAAAGTTAAAATTCATCATGTTAGGCAGTGTTACTATTTCATGTAATTTATTTGAAGGGATGAAGGTTTCCCCCGACAAAAGAGACAGATAATGGGTAGCTTAGTTCGATTTAATGCAGCTAAAAAGAAGAGTAATCGCTCCCCGAAATTACTCAGTTAGCTGAGTATCGCTTGTCAATTTGTAACCAATATCATTATAGATTTCGTTACTAGGCGATGACATTTTTACACATTTTGTATAGAACTTAAGTCAGAACATTTATAAAAAGGCTGTTAACGAAGCAGGCATATTTGAAGAGACTTACCTAGTTCACCTGCCGCTTTGACATCAATATTATCAACACCTGATCCGATACGAACAATGATCCTTAACGCCTTGAACTTCTCGAGGTCCTCCTTGGTCAGTATGATGGTGTGCCACATTAGTGCACCCACCGCCTCATTGAGCACCTTCTCGTGAATCTCTGATGTCGACTGTGCATCGCAGAACGCCACTGTCGCGACATCTTTCAGTATCGGCATCTCGACTGTACAGTCGCGTCCGTCTAATAACGCCACCAAGGGCCTGGAAAAAATAAGTCATCAATTAGTTAGTTTTTCTTTTAATAGGCATACATATTTATAATTCACAACATGACACATAGTACTAAATAAAAGGACTCGAGATCTTATCCGACTCGAGAATTGCACGAATCCACACTAGGATTTTCTCTAGTGACGTTCGTGCGTATTTGATAAGCTAATTCTTGAAAAATAAAATGTTGTTTAACAGCCTCGTACAAAGTTCGTTGAGAACTATTCTGAAACCATGTTCTAAGATAATATAACATTGAAACTTGTAATTGTTCAAGTTTTACATAGAGCAACACAGGCCACCGGCGGACAGAGGAATATTAAAGTTTTCTAAATTCTGTAGATCATAGTTGTTAAATTGGTTTAAAAATATGCAAGTGTAAAATAAGATTATTTTGTGTACCATGTATATTCGTTTCAGCAATAAACAATTTTGAATGTTTATGACGACGTTATATTTTTGATGTGTCATCAGTAACACGTGTAGGGTGAAAGCACGTCCACCGCATTTGTATATAATGGCAATAAATAACATCATAAAGCAGCAGCGACGTAATTGTTACATAAAACATAAGCGATAAAGACACGTTCGTAATACTTATCAATCGTACTGAGCCACCATTCATTTACGAACGTGAAAATTAACTTTATTAAAATATACACTAATAAGTTTGAAACCCCGAACATTTGAATCTATCAATTATAATATTAAGTCACTATTCTACCATATTTACGTCTATCAAATCCTATCTAAGTACAACTCAACTGCATTTGAATAAAACGATAAAACCGCTTAACTAGTTCAATGTTCAACTCTATTGGAGTTTTCTATTTTCATCGCATATGGGTCGATTTCAAATTTGGGGCCAAAAGCATATAATTTCATTTATTTCTCATGATGTAGAATTTATCGTAACTTTAATTATTTTAAATCATGTAGTCTTATGAGACGTTCAAACGCCAGTTACAACGAATCTTTTATGATTGTAAATTAAAAAGACATATCCAAAACTAGTACCTATTTCTCATTTGTGTTAATGCTCCAAAGTCTTATTTTTTTAAAATCTCTCTAAAAAACGAAATAACGCGTCAAGGAAATTTTAATTTTATTGTGGTATTTTTCTGTATACACTTTAAAGATGAATAATTAGATATTAAAACGAATGTTGGGTATTAAAAAATATGTTTTTTTTAGCTTTCTAAAACTGTTGGTTTTTAAAGTATCATTTGTGTGACCGTATTAAAATGCATCAGTAAATAGAATTCTTCCCTGATTTACCCCGCCCTTTACCCCGCGCGCGTCCCGTGTGCTCAGTCGTGACCGTACGCGCGTGCTCGTCAGTTGTGTGTGGCGTTATTTTAAGAGAAATTCCAAATTTCAGGTAAGATTTTGACTTCGGTAACAAATTTATATCATTAGTGTTTTGTCACATATTGTGCAAAGTTAAATGTGTTTTTTGTTTTTGATTTGGCTGTTTAACAACCCATTTAGAGGATATTTTGTTTCCAATGTACGGTATATTCTAGAACGTTCTATTTACAAAATAAATTCGAATTACTTCCAAAAATCTCATTCGTGTCACTTTCATTTGTGTCGATTCACGAGTCACACGAATTATATGGAAAGTCACACTAATGATTTTTTTGTTTGCTTTCAGATTAAGTATTAAATAATGGCGAAACCAAAAAAACAAAAAAGTGAGGAAGAATTAGAGAGGCGTAGAATAGCTAGAAGACAAAAATATCAAACTATTAAAAACAATCCTGAGTTATATGCCGCTGAGCAAGAAAAAAAAAGACAATATTACTTAAAAGCGAAGGAGAATAAAAAAATTAAAAGTATTAACGAAATAAGGCCCACGCGAGCAAAGAATTCAAAGACGAAAATGGAAAGAGAGTTCCAAAAAGTTTTATAGAAAGAAAGTAAGCCAAAGAATTATAGAGAACGTTGCAGTAACTGAAGAAAGTTGTGATATTGAAAATGTTAACATGAATACAGATCCTTTAAATATAGAAAACCAAGAAATAAAACCCAAAATAAGTATGCGTGAACAAAAACTAATAAAAAAAATCAAAACAATGAAAATACAGCACGAAAAAGAGAAACGAAATTATTTATTATTATTAAATAGGTACAGGTTCAGGTTAAATTATTTAAAAAGAAAAATATCTACACTAACAGGTGAAATAAGTAATGAAGCAGAAAAAACAAAAAATGAAGACAAGAAGCAATTATTTGATAGACTTCTAAGTGCTGAAATAACACAGAAATTTGCAAAAACTGCAAACAGGAAAGACAAACGCGTTATCACTAAGTTAATTGATAAAGAGAAGTTTAAAAAATTTAAGGTTGCTACTGACCTTCGGAAAGTTCATCTTCGAGAACGATTTAAGAAGAATGCACGTAATAACATCAACATTCAAAAATTAGTAGAAAAGTTTTACGAAGACGACATTAACAGTCGCATTACTCCAGGCAAGAAACAATATAAAAAGAAACATGGAATCGTTAAACAAGTCAGATATCTTTTAGATTCTATAAAAAACTTACACAAGAAATTTTTGGCTGAAAATACTAACATTAAAATTAGTTACACGACTTTTACAAGACTCAGACCATTTTGGGTCTCTCTTCCGACTGACGACCGTGATACGTGTGCCTGCTTGTTGCACACAAATTCTAACTTATTAATAGCGGCTCTTCATAAGAATAATATTCTTCATGTAAAAGATAGTCATAATTTGATAAAGGAAATCTGTTGTGATAAATACAGGCTAGATTGTCTTAATCGCAAATGCGCTTCATGTAAAAATAAAACAGTACCTTATAAAGAATTCCGAAACGATAAAGAAATACAGTACATGGTATGGGAAAGAGACACCAAAAAAGTTGACATGAAAGAAATAAAAATAATCAAGAAGAAAACAAAGAGATCTGATCCTCGTAACCTGATAATTGAACTGGAAAATATGCTGCCAAAATTTTTGTCCCACACGAGTAACATTGTCAACCAGTATGCTACTATTAAATGTTTAAAAGAATCTCTAACTACTAACGAAGCCTTGGTTCATATGGATTTTTCGGAAAATTATTCTTATAAATATTCGGAGGAAGTACAAAGCATGCATTTTGGTGGCAGCCGTGGTCAAGTCTCACTTCATACAGCAGTGGTTTATTTAAAAAATGATTCCAATGCTACTCAATCCTATTCTGTTTGCACAGCCAGTGAATGTACCCGTCATGATGCAGCGGCAGTGTGGGCTCATCTAAATGATTTAATTAAATTTGTGTTTAACAGATCATCACAAATTAATCGCATCCACATTTTAACAGATAGTCCCACAAGCCAGTACAGAAATAAATATATATTTTATATATTAACTCAATTAAGGAATGACTTCCCAGATCTAAATCTCGTCACGTGGAATTATCAAGAAGCTGGGCACGGCAAGGGTGCTCCTGATGGCATTGGAGCAGTAATCAAAAGGACTGCCGATTATGAATTAAAGTGTCATCAGGATGTCGGAGACTTTGATGCCTTTGTTAACATTATTCGAAGAAATATAAAAAACGTAGAAATGGGTATTATTCAAGAGCACGAAATTAAATTAAGGGAATTAATGTTGCCTAAAGATATTGCCACTTTCAAGGGGACTATGACAGTTCATCAGGTATATTTTATACAACAAATAAAAAATATACTGATGTTACCATATACAATGTAATAATAATACATATATTTTCCTTACAGGTCATTTGGGCAGCTGATTCTGCTTATCTAGAATTTAGAAAACAGAGCTGTTTCGAATGTATAAGTGTCGCTTGTAAACATGGCAAACATATGAGATTTTTTAAGATATATAATACTCCAATTGGATCTACAATGGAAAATGTAAAGGTCATCCCGGAAAACAAAAGAATTAAGGTACTTAGTGATGTTACCATTCGTTATGCTAATACCGATGATCCAATGTTACATGACAGCACACCATCAACTTCAAGTCTCCGCAGTATTCGACACTCCTGGGCCAATAAATGTTTTATAAATAATTATACAAAAGCGACAGATCACGAAAAAGAATTCCTTGATTTTTTAAAAAAATGTGAAGATGATGATGACGATCCCTTATCAGATTAATTAATGAAGAAGCTATTAATAATATGGATATTGTTATTGTACACGCAATGAAAAAGGAGTAGCGTTAACCAATCTTGAAGACTGAAATCAGAAATGTATACCATTGATTAGCTTAGTTGAATAAGATATTGTTTTGGAATTAAGTTTAAAATAATTAATATCTGTAGTACGGTGACCGGCACATCCACCTTCACTGCAATAATGTTACTACCCTACCTACTATTAATAATGTTAATGACAAATATTTTATGTTTTGTTGATTATTTATTAATTTTCATTAGTGTTACCAGAGATCTCATTAGAAAATCACAAAATATCATTAGAGAAATTATATTGCTCATTTGTGTCACTCAAAAATGTGTATTTTCCCTGTTATTGGAAGAAATTAAAGGTTTGTTTGATTAGCATGTGTTTTTTTAACTAATGAATGCACCTAGATATATAAACATATATTTTTTTAATATTTTTGAAATATCATGCAATTCACACTTTTTTGGCCCCAAATTTGAAATCGACCCATATCTATTGGAGTTTGCCAGTCAATATTCTCTGAACTTTTGTAAGTCGCCCGCAAACTAAACAACTCTTTACAAACGACAAGAGTCTACATATATACAATTAAATCTGATTCATCTTACGTACATTAACTGACTTATTTAATACTAGCTATTCTCGCGCGGTTTCACCGCTGCTCAGTGCCATTTGATCGTAGCGTGATGTTTTATAGCCAAGCACTCGTGAACATTTTGAATGAACGTGAACTATCTAGCATTGAATGAATTATGAAAACCCGACCAGCAGTTCGGGTTGCCAAAGGTTGCCCCCTACATATAAACTTACAAATTTTACCTCTTTATAATTTTGGTAGAGATATCTATTAAGGTATTTAGGGCAGGCAAAGACAAACTTGATTACTAAGTGGGCAGCAAAAAATTAAGAGATAAAATTGTAGGACACGTTCTCCGGTACTCCTTTACAAACATTACACAAATGAACGAAATAATACGATATCCAGTCACTGAACAATGATCAAATAGCAATTAGTTGCTTGGAAATATACCAACAACCAACAGTAAGTAATGCAAGAACAAGCAATTTAAATGTGTAATCAGAGCGAGCAAGTAAATTGTAGTACGTTGTACGTTATTATAGGATTTGGCGTAATTGTTGAGTTATTGTTAATTACTTATGTTGCCTAGTTTACAAGGTACGGTGAATTGTAACACTTAATAAATTTTACAAAACAAGCAACTTGTGTAATTGCAACAGAGTTGTTGTTAACTTCATAGATGGGATATCGAAAGATAAGGCGGTGATTGGTGTGTTGGGTTTTTTAAAAGTTCTAATATGTAATGAAAAAAAAATCATAAATTAGTAATACCCTCTGACTATATGGAATAAATGAATGCGCGTTAGGCATTTCACAATGAATGAAACCATATGGAACAGTTAGCCATTTCAATCATAATTGTAGTCATTCACTACAACGCTAGGCGCTGCAATTATGAAACTGTGTGAATCATAATTGTTTATTTATTAACTGTATTTGGTAAACTAATAACAGCTAATATCTTAGTGTTTATTTTTTAAATTTACTTTTAGGCGTGTGCTGCATTTTAATATTCATTTAAGTACATTTGTAATAGAAAAAAATGGGTTTATTATCTATTTTACACGTGCATTATAGTCATAATTTATCTTAATAACGCAGTGACATACTACTCTTGCAAAATTCTTGAAGGGCCTATTGGAAAAAATAAGACTTTATATTTATAATATCTATAATCAGCAATAGGGGCATTAGCATAATTACATCATTTACCCGTGTACTTACTACTGAGAGAATTAAAATAGATTGCTTTTTAAAACATACGCAATTAATATTCCGATGTCGTTCGTATATCAGCTACACAGTTTGATTGACGCACGCCGTTGTCTTTTGATCAAAACTTTCTCTTCGTAGCACAACTATACAACTTTAGGGTACTCACTTTTACTTTTTACAGAATATTGAATATTTATATATGAATAAAATTTACATTGAGCCATTAGTTCTGACTATAAACAAGACGTTCAATTGCCAGAAAGTACAAAGCAAGTTATCGTAAGGCCACTTTCGTGAGTTGCAGCAACAATAACGGTATTAAAGTTTAGTACTAAATAACTTGGGTACTCCAATTTAGATTAAGAGATACGACGAAGAGCAAAATTACAAGTTTGTAACTGCCAATTAGCTTTGGTAATAGACAAACCAAAATTAATGGACAAATTAAATTTCTAAGCAAACCGACAAATATTGGAAACTAGGAGAGATTGGGGGATAGCAGCCGGGGACCAGTTAGCTAATCACGGAGAGGACGTGCCCCGAACATCTCGCCCCCGCCGCGAATAATTAAAGCACACCAGTACGATTAAACTAATAATTTAAACTTTCGTCATAGCGGAGCGGAATTATTATTATTGCCGGGGAAAGTTTCGGGCGGCGAAACGGGAAAGTAATTCCGGGCGGGTAAGGAGGGAGTTTTCAGAATTCCAACAAACTTTTCCGGGGGCAGACGAAAACAGATTTTGGTGGCAAACAAAGAGGCCGGGCCATTGGTGTGAGGTCCGGGGAGGCAACCCTTCGGGCAAGTTTTGATGGAAACCAAATAGGATTAGCGCGAGAAAAGAATAAGTGGAGTGAGCCCAATAGACGGCGGACGTCGCTTTGTTAACTTGCCACCCGCGTTCATTCGCGACCAGCTTACGAATTAGATGAACGACTCCGCTAGATTCGATCTTTGCTAAACTGTTTGAGTTTCTGATTGTGGACTGTGATTTAATTAAATCGGTGGCTGCTTACATAATTGTATGATTTCATTGTACCGAAGTAATTTAAGAGGGTTACTGACAATAGTATTTCAGGTATACACATTTTCAAATAATAAAATAGACTAATCAAATATTCACCTCGACTGCAAGGGTCCGTTGGCGATGGGACCCCGCATGCTATCCATACGCGCTCTCTTTGGCAGCATCTTGCGTTTGTCCATTTAAAGCGGCAGAGCCGCTTTAACCACCGCTACGCAGCGCGTCACCTGAAAACATACAATTGAACTATTAGACCAGAAAAAATTACAATTATTTGACAGAGATATTAGTGCTCAAAAGTACTTTATAACTTCTCTTTAGTAACATTTACTTTGTAGTAGAAAGTCATCCGAAGCTTATCAGGGAGCTACTACGGCTGAATCCCGCACTCTACATTGTACATGTGAGTAATCGGTAAACAATAAACAATAACAGACCGTACCAACTATGTAAAATAGGGTCGACTAAAACAGATTTGCATACGTTTAGGAAAGTCGGAAACACTTTAATGCGTTACTAATGAAACGACCTTTTAACTAAGTCATTTATTGTTACGATAAACTAATTAGTAAAGTGTGTATCTCAGATAGAAAAAGAAAAAAGACAGCAATAATAAATAAATAAGATAAATAATTAATTGTTTTTGCGAATTTTCAACGGATTTCCAATAAGTAATCTTAATGTATATTTTACAATGGTATAAGGCTCATAGCAACTTTTTAAAATTAAAATCACGATTACCTCAGCACGTGCAAGGTGTAGGTTAATACATAACACATCAAATACGTTTATCGCTATGTATGCGGTAAGTAAATACGTTAACTCAACTGGAATTTAGTTACGCGTTACTTTGTAGGTATAGTCGATAAAGGTTAGGAACATAAAACTATAAAGTGTTGTATATATGACGAAAAAGTTATATAATTTTATCACTACACGGTATTTATAAACGGCGTAAAGACATAAAAATGTGTAAGTGTTTTAGGTTTTTTACTCAGTTGCGGATAAAGGTAAAATCTAATTTAGAAGGTTTTGAGATTCCCGTTGATTAGGTTAAAACAGTCAAATTTTTTATTTATATAAGGCAACTTAATTTGTGATGAAAGCCTATTATAGATTTAGATATGCACGACACAGAAAACATATAAAAGGCTGGCTGTATAATATAAATAACATAAATATAACCCAATAAATAATTACATATATCGACTGTCATAGATCACACATAACACGTGTCATTTTATGTCTCATTATCTACAAGATCCACGAATATTTTTAACTAATTATATTGATAACACATTTACAATTCAATTGACGGTTAGTTAACGTTTCAAAAGTCATGCTTACTAGTAAAAAAAACGGGTCATTGTAATAACTTGTTTTTGTATCAGCAATGTCTGAATTATATAATAATGTAGTTCTTGTGTCGCTAAGCTATACATTTTAAAATCATTACGTGTGCACTTCTCAATGATGCACTAAATAATATCAGGAAATGTATAGAGATGTGATATATGTATTAAAAGGAAATTACTTCATATTTTACCAAATTTATTTAACAAGCGCGTACTATACTGTTTTGTCAACGAGATATATTGATGTTTATTTTATGAGTATGTCATCCATCCGAGTTGATGGAGCGAACAGGTCCCCTTTTCATGTAGATTATTCCAGTGGGGTAAACAATTTCAATAATAACAAGATGAGAGCGATATGTCGAGAACCTGTTTTATCTTTTAAGAAATGTTATCAACTCTGCGAACAATGGTCAAGGTCAGGAACGATGAAGCAGGTACTTGAAACCGGGTGCGCGTATGTGGCACACATTAATGTGACATTATGAATCAGAAGGGTTGTTTAGGTCTATTCAATGATGACATCGTTATAGTGTTTTTATAACAAATAACAAGGATTTTATCACTACATACTATAAAACAAATTAGCTTTCTGTGTCCTTATGTATGGTTTTTTTTTAAACTACGCAACCGATTATGTTGTTTTTAATAGATTGAGTGAGAGCAGGGGAAACGTTTAAATGCATAATTACGTCCATTAAATAGTTAAGAAATTTAGTAACAGGTCACTTTTATTTATTAAAAACTCGCTAGCAATAATTAAAATATAATAAGTAAAGTATCTGTTTCAAGATTTCATTATTGCTAGCTAATCAATAAAGTTACTGAGTTTCACCATGTAATTTATAAACCCATAACGACTTCTTCCTTTAAAACAAATGACATTCGTGATTTATAACTAAATAATTGAATAATTTATTTCACAGGTTACCAAGTAGCCTTAACATGCCTGCCACAATTTTTAGTGATAAATGCACATAATGATGGGTTTAGTCACAAAATTGTAATGCTTAGGCTGTCATTATGTGCAGTTTGTATCTTGGTTAATGGTATGTTATTAATAACGGGCCTACCATTGTATTTTAGGAACTTGATGGACAAGGGGCTCCTGAATGGCATTAGACCATGATTATTTAAGATAACATGAATGAATTTAATTTTATTCAAAAGTTTGACGGGTAAATGTTACTGAGTAACACAGAAGTAGTTTGTGAAATTATGTGGTTCAGGGCAAATTGCATGATGAATAAATCAAATTGAATCAAAGTCCAAATGATGAATTGTCATACCCATCACAAGCTTTAAACTAAATTACCTTCTTATAGAGAAAACACCGATCGGTATTTGACATGAATTTCAAAATAGTTTCACAATTTACTGTCATTACATACATAGGCAGGTTGTTGTTAACAAAAGCATCTCAACACCGTTGAATGGCTAGCTTGTATTTAAATACAATACATAATTGGCAGTCGTTTGGCGTTATGTGTCGTGTGTGTATCACGAATGTCCAGCATTAGAATATAAAAACCTGTGCTGTAGAAAACCGGTACAGTGGGAATATTGTTTCACACGCACTCATGTTTTATGTGTGAATGTACAATAATGCATATTTAGAAACGTTTGACGAGGTGATAATGTTAGGATATAATACACTGAAATTGAATAAGAATAAGGCTTTGTTTCTCATATTATATTTCTAATTCAACTACAAATAAGTAATTCGGTGATTTATTATTTTAATAATACAGCACTGTAGCCATTATAACACAACTTTCACTTGTTTATACTAATAAGTCGGTACCGCATTTACAGTCTACATATGAGCTATAAAACAAAAGTATATTATTTTATACATAAAGCTCCTCTTTTTCTTAGTAAAAGAACTATCTTCTAAGCCCGCATCAAATTACCGAACCGTTCGTCCCCACAACTAACGCTTAATACTATGTGCACAATAAAGCACAAAATAAACGATTGACGAAGCGGCTAAGTGCTTGTCTACACTGTCGGTCTCTGCAAACAAGGTCAGACGTCACATAGTCAGTAAAACAACCCTCTTAACCCCGATATGCTTCTGGTTCAGTAACTTTACCACAAAATGAGGCATAAAGGCAAAAAGAAAACGTTGACAGGAATCGATTAACCTACATTTATACAAATACGAGAGAAATGCTTTTGTAGTAAAACTCATGTGAGCAGCCTGTATTTATTGCTAAGCAAAACATATAGAATCTCATCAAAATGCGGATTACGGAAGGTGAGGTGAATGCAAAAAGGATGGAAACGAGTTTGTTTGGTATACAAAACAGCTGTTATGTCTTGTGAACTTCGAGCAGATAATTATGTTGTTGGAATAGTAATTCCATAAACATTGGTACATTTTTACTTCACTGTATGTAAACAGATTTATTGGCGAGTTAACTAATAGAGTAGGTAGGGTTCAATGACCTTAAATTTTTCCGATTATTAAATTCGAATTCTTGAATACGTATTCTATATCTTTTCAAAAGTTATGTACTCATCCGATAATACATGCTTGATAATATCTTATTCCTGTGCAGTGTTACCATGAACAAGGATTTAAGGAACGCGATTAATTCCTTCAAATATCTAACCAACCGACCATATCTCGGTTTCGGCATAACAGTGCGGTCGTGTCTAAGTAAGCACAATAATGTAAGGTAAACTATATGAAAACTATCGTATATCCCGGCACAAGGTTAGTTGCTCTCCAGGCCGTAGCGTCTCCTAAGTGCTCCCGGTCGCTCGGGGAGTCGGGGGTTCGGGGCCACGCCACCACATACGGCAATAAGTTACATTTAACGATCGCAATACCACATACGTAGTAGCCGGCAAGCGTGGTTCTATGTAACTATTTATACCGAGCACCGGAACCCGGTTACTCGGATTGATTTTATTACATGACTACATACCTAGTAAGATGATTAGGTACAAGTTCTATCTAAAAAGTAACCGTTTTGGTGTTTGATACATTAACAATTATTTTACAAGATATTTATTATTTTACAATACAAAATTGATTTTCTCTATATTTAATTGCGCGCAAATTTCACTAGCACAATGAAAGATTTGTGACATTATCCGAAGATTGTTATCATCTCTATGTGAAGTGAAGTATTTAGTAGTATAAGGTAGGTATCGTATTTTGTGTCGAAACTATACTATGCAATTTTTTACAAGTACTTAACGCTACCTACTTTAAGACACTAACCAAACTCGATTTCTACGAAACAATATAAATATTATTTAATTTAAATTTTAATATAAGAGGAATAACAGTCAGATGAGAGTATTGAATCTGTTTTGCTGCAACATCATAATTCATTAAGATTTATGTAGATGTAGTCGAGTTTGTTATGTAAATATTGTTACAATTAATTTTTACTTTACTAACCTTTGAGGTCATGAAGTACAGATTAATTGTTACTTGTGAAATGACTACGCAACCATGTCTCGGTAGACAAGGAAATTAATTACATAGTTTGTTATTCCGTAGTGGTCTCGTCTAGTTAATTGTGCTTACTGTTAAAAGCTAGACATGTGTAGTGTTTTAATGTAGGTTAAGTCATTTTAATCATAGTACTTTAACTAGTCAACAAAGTTTTAAATGCTAAAAATTGAATCCTGGCGTTGTATTTGATATTGTGTAATGTTAATCACATAGTGTTGAGGACCAATAATGTATACTAAGTACATATTTTGCTTAGGTTATTTGCTATTGGAATGAACAGCAAAGGACAAGTTTTTAGGTTTCCAGTAACAATAGGTATTGTGCGATTTTTAGATAGCTGAGGCAATGAAGAATTAAACGTACAGCTTAGTAATGCAGAATTTAGTTTTTAAGATTG